ATTGAAATATTCTGTGAGGCATCCAATATTGACTTTTAGTGTTGTCCTTTGCACACATATTCTGTGAGTCTTTTGGTGATGTGCTGTACATGATGAGATATACACAAAGTTTTCACAGTTTTAAACTAATAAACATTATTTTGAAATTGATCCATAATATGTTTTTGCAGATTGGTGACCCCCTGTCCGGCATTACTTCTGAGAAACTCTGCCTCTCTAAGTTGCTCTTTTTATGTGCAATCATGTTACTGACTTGTTGCAAATTATCTTAACTTTTAAATGTTCCTCCAGCTGTTTGTTTTTAGTTCCACTTATTATTTAAACATTTTGTTGCCCCGACCTAGCATGTTTGCTCCTGCCATCAAAGTCAAAATGAATTGATATTTTTGATAAAATAGTAAAATGTCACATTTTAAACATTTGATATATTGTCTGTGTTTTACTGTTTTATTATTATTTGTTTTCTATGTATTATTATTTATTATTATTAGTTTTCTCATTATTAGAAAAATAATCGATGAATAGCTACCTTACCGTGGCAGGAGGGTTTGTGTGTCTCGGGGATCTAAGGGATGTTGCTGACAGGCTTTTGTCCCTTCTGAGAGAATAAGCTGGCCAAAGCAGGTGATAGAAGCCACTGACATCTAGACAAGTTTCTTTACCATGTTCTTTACCATTTTTGATGAAAGTTTTTTGGGTTAATACCCTATGTTGCCGCTAGAGGTCCCCTGTTTCTGTTTTCTGTATGGTAGGTTTATGTAAAGGTATTTAAGGTGGACGCACTCAATGGGCGTCAGGTGTGTTGTTAGTCGGAAGAAGACAAACAGTTTGTGACCGCTGCGCTGTTATGTTAAAATAGATAAACATGAACAAGATAAGTACTACTGTATTTTCTAAACATTTTGCTCTTACAGTTTTTTTACGTACTGCCGAGTGACTGTCTGCTGCTCCTCAAATACATTTCATTGCAATGTTGACCCTGTGCTAACTTGCATATGACAAATAAAACTGAAACTGAACTGGAGTTATTGGGCTGTTTAATGAATGCATGCATACCAGTGATATCGCGTCACCCCCGTTAACGAACACCTCAGTGGCTTCCAGCGTAGGCTTAGCCTGTATAGACATGCATCATGGAGCACGGGAACACGCCTAAGCACAAGATCAGTAGCGGCTGGGGTCTACCACTGCAGGCAAGACCCCAGGTGCAGGCTGTGTGACCCCAGAAATGACATCTGAGATCTCTGTAGAGAAGACTCCAGTCCTACAAACAGTGACGATATGCAGACACTGAACCAGGTCTCTGGTACAGGACCTGGGCTTTTAGGATAAAAGACACAGGGCGACCGACAGTGGGAAAAAAAAGATTACTTGTATCGTTGTAAATATCACTTGTCAATGATAAAGTCCTGCTTATTCCAGATCTCTTAAAATGTGATGCAGATAAATAGTTATTTAGCCCCAGTGACGGTCCTAGCCTGTTTGGCGCCCTGGGCGAACACTCCCCAGAGTGACAGTATGCATAGTTTGTAAATGACTAACAAACAGCCAACACAATTCGTCATACAATGAGAATCGGACAAATCAACAATTCACAATGACTAATTAATATTGTGCTGAACACAGTCCAAAAGATTCAGTGTCTACTGTTTATGATAGTAAACAGTAGACACTGAATCTACAATTAGTAGGCAAGTTTTCACTATGCCTACTAATTAATGTTATCTTGTTGTATTTGTGTCGTAGTCAGTGCCATCCTCTATGCTGTTGCATTCGGGGGCAGCAGGTTGAGGGTCACAGATGCCAACAGACTAAATAAACTGATCCACATGTTGTGGGGGTGGAGCTGGACTCCGTTAGGGTGGTGTCTGAGAGGCAGATGTTGTCCAAGATAAGGACAATCATGGATAATAACTCCCACCCACTCCATGACCTGCTGATAGTCACATGAGCTCGTTCAGTGAGAGACTGAGATTACCAAAAAGCACCACTGACCGACACAGGAAATCATTCCTGCCTGTGGCTCCCTGTACAACTCCTCCATCTAATACACTGTAAACACTGCAACAGTCACACCCCTTTTTACACGTGCTCTTTCATGGAATATTCTTGCCAATGTTCTTGATATTTATTTAAAATCACCTCTGTTAATTCTTGATATTTATAATTGAGTGGTCTGTATATAATAGTGCTATTTCTTACATGTGTAAAATCTGTAACATAATGTATTGTTTGGAGTTTAGTCTGTTACTGTTGCTATTTTCACAATTTCTTCTTGGAGCAACTGTAACCTACATAATTTCCTTAGGGATTAATAAAGTATTCTGATTCTGATTCTGATTGTTTCAGGATGACCTGCCATGATCCAATCACACATCTGCTTACTTGTATCTTTTGCACCCCATGACTTTGAACTTTTCCTGTCCATCTTCCATTGGTTTTAATGTTGCACTCCAGTATGAACACCCATCCCCCAACCCGAGGATCACCACAACATAACCTAACAGACCTACACCTTAGTTCACAGATTCACTTTGTCTAGGGTTTATTTCTGGGATTTCGCACAACCCAGGATTCAAATCATGAGTAGATAATGGGCTTGGATTTACAGGTTGTGTGTGAGATTTTAAATCATCAAACTGTAAATTATAAATTTTAAATTGTTATTGATCCCTTTACTCCTGGTCCTAAAGTGTATATTTATTTTCTTACTCTTCTTATTTTTATTGGTTGTTTACTTGCACTGCTGTAACTGGAGCCTCGTCTCGTCTCTCTATATCCTGGACTGTAGCGGAGATGACAAAGTTTACTTTCACTTCAGTAGCGAGGGCTCTCGCGCTCACTTTTCGCGTATAGAATTTCGAAAAACGTCGGTTCAAATTACAAGTCATCATGATGTCTGGTGTTTTCGTTTTGTTTTTATTTTGTTTTATTTTGCGAGTTGGTTATTAGACGCTGCTCCAGCCAGCCAGAGAATCCCCCGCAGCCCCGCCCTCTCCTCCCTGTGCCGCAAGCAGCAGGCGCACCTCGCAAACGGAGGGCGCCCTTACTCCCAGCAAATGGGTGATAGAAAACCGATCGGTGCCTGTACCATTCCCCATATGCGCTGGCATGACGTCGGGGCAGCATGAGTACGAGCATTTTTTTTTTTTTCCGCTCCCCACCACGATGCCGCCCCGGGCAACCGCCCGTATCTAAAACCGCTACTGATGATGGTTGTGTTGACAAATTTGTCCAAATCTGAAGCTAACAAAGTACATTTAAACTAAATACAGTTCACATAGGTTTCAATTTAAATACAAAATATTGTTTCAGTTTTTATTTAACCTCAAGTTTAGTTTTAAATTGCAGATAACTGCATTTTCGCACTTGAATTTTTATTTCAGTTTTAGACCAAATATATTTCTTCATATTTGAGCAGTGCTGACAGATACCCGAACATTCAGCTGCACTTAATATTAGTCCAACTGAAGATCATAATTTACCACTTCACCACCCACTCTGGTCAGTGAACCAACATCACTGACCAGAGACTAAAAGTCACAATCTTGATGCAAAGTATTTATGGTTTGGGTGAGGAAGACCAGTGCGTGGCTCATGAACAGCGAACAGTAGGAGGTCGATAAAGCAGCGATGAGAGCCGTCGATGTTATTCGATCCATTTGCAGTGGGACAACGACGTGCACACTATCCCCGGTGGGATCAAGCACATGGAGGAAAAGGCTGAGGTAAGAAAAGTCCACCCAGTGTCTTGCAGAGATGAGCAAAAAACATCAGGGCTACCGGTGTTCTGACAAAACGTCCTACACACCGGGAGCAGCTACCTCTGCTTACCACAAACACACGTCTCCGTTGCGTTGTGCCTATCAGTACCCACACAGCGGATATATGTGCGCAATACATCGCTGTGCTGTCTGGGAAATCAACAAGCGGTTAACTTTCGGAGGAAGTGAATAACCGACGGTTACGCAGAGAAGAAAGCAGCGATGCCTGAGTCAACCGAGCATGTGGAAGAGGCAAATACGTCTCCTATGTGTCCCCCCAACGAGGACATTGAGGACGAGGACGTTGTGGGGGCAAATACGTCTCCTATGTGTCCCCCCAACGAGGACATTAAGGACGAGGACGTTGAGAGCGCAAAAACGAGAGCAAAACGAAAACGCCTGGCCAAAGTTCTCCGCGTATTAGTAGCAGTTGGCTTATTTGTAGTTGGTCTAATTGTAGGTGCTCTAGTAGCTGGTCTACTAGCTGATTATTATGGGTATTGGAAGGGTAGAAGTGAGTGTAAGGACACCAGTGCTAATTGCCCTTTCTCAAAAGCTGCTGTGGCCGCAGACTCCTGGAATTGTTCAGAGATTGGACGGTGAGTAACATTTTAAACTTCGGACACATTTTCCTTTTTCGCATTACACATAAAATTATGCACTGTTCCAAATGCAAACTTTAGCGCTAAAACGTCTTTGAAAACTGCATGACAGCGTCTCATCATGGAAGTGTGCGGTTATGTCCCCCCCCCCCCTTTTTTTTTTAAATAAAAGTCAAAATTCGGTGTGATCTGTATAAAATCTTCATGCCATTTCCCTACTAAATGATTTATTGGTCAAAACGGAGAAAAAGCCGTATTACGTAGAAACTATGATTCTTACAGATTGTTAGGATGCCTGGGTCGTTGACCCAGGGTT